GCAATGCACTTACGTGCTACTGAAGTCTCCTATTAATTCCCGAGACGTTTTCCAGCATGTTCAGCATGTCAAAGCCTCTGATACCACCAAATGTCAAGTGAATAAGCCCAAGCTACCGGACGTCACGCTTGTTCAGTGTTACAACCACGGGAATAAATCATTCGTCATTGTCTCACCCTTTGATACGGGAAAACTCAATTATGGTAATGCCGTTGGAAAGGCACTGCCATAATTAAAGAGGCTCTAAGTGTTAAGTCATGAAGTTATTTACTTGAATTGACTAGTTGGTGGAAAGAACACCAAATGAACTGTGCTTTGCATTGTTTACCTGATGACATTCACCAGAGTGAGTTATTGTGCATCCGAACACGGTAACTTTCAATTTGAAAGGTAAAAACAGCCAATTGCTTAACCTTTATGCCAACATTCACTTGCATGCTTAATCTGCACTTTCTGGACTTAGTTGACGACTACGCAAATTCTACCTCAGCAGCCCATCTCACGTGAGATTTCGCACAGCTGCGGTATTTAGGCTGAAGGTTTCCTTCACCCACGCGACTCAAGTTTGTCTCTATAATTCCATTCAGCTAGAAGGGATGTCTCCGCATTTGTTTTAGCCGCCAATATCCTAGAGGTAGGATGGACACTGAAGCTGGACCCGTTGACTACAAATCTAAGCATTGAGGAGCAATTGGCTTGCCCTTTTCTTTCGACACTGCTGCTCTTTCTGGTCAAAGCAGGTTGTCTCGGCCGACTGCGGACTTCTTGTTGCTGGCCATTGCATAATCAGTCTAATGTACACCGATTATAGGGAGTGTTCCACATCTCTACGCCACCGTCAGCCCAATGAAAACCTCAGGACTGTCCACCAGTTTATATTCGTGTCTGTAATACAAATAGCGACTGCAATTCCTGCTTGCCGTTTTCTTCTTCTTTTTTTATTTGGCACAAAGGGTTTGATTAGACTGTGGTAGTTCCTTTTTTTCTGACAAATTTAGCAATTCATCGGTAAATTTCGACTGCTTATTATGAGATATGGAGTGACATTTTCGTGATCATCTCTTCAGTCCTCCCTTTCTGCACCGCAGTCTTGCGCACAAGGTAAAAAAACTTGAGTCTTACTACACTGCATTTTGTGAAGCAGACTCCCAACACTGACCCCACTTATTCTCAGTTCTGACCTATGAACAGTGGACAGAGTCATCTGTGCCTGGTTTTAGGTACAGAAGCTCTAAAGGGATTGCAATTTTGGTTCCTGTTATAGATTTACAAGGCGGAAGTTAAGTGTGGGTTCCCGTTCATGTCATGGTCACCAGCTTATTGGTTTGGCAGACAGCCCTTTCTTAAATATGGTCGGTTTATCATAGCATGAACAACTACCAGTTTCCCTTTCTTTCACTTGTTGTAGAGTCAGGATTAAAGTCAGAGTGACAAATCCTTCACTGCAAAGACTGTGAAATTTACCTGCCTCTTATTGTGTCATGGAAACTACACATATACCCAAAACTCTTATAAGAGTGCCTCTCCTCATTCATTGCAAGTATGAATGCGGTTTATTTTTGCATTGACCGTATCGGTTCCACGATATGTCTCCTTTTGAATAGAGCATCAGTGCAGCAACCACTAAAGAAAAATGTTGGAACATTGCAGGAGCCTACTTGGGTCACTCAAGAGTTTGGCTAATCGAAACGAATTCTTGCCTCATGTTTACTACATCACTTTGCAGGCGGTATTGTGCATTTTTGTGTTTTGCAAGTAGTCCATTCCGAATTTGAATTTTAACCCGGTTCTACTAGATTTTTAGTCATTGTCTCTTAAGCATTTGAACAGACAATATTAATAGGAAGTCTTGCCTTTTTCACTGATGC